AACAATTTATTCACTAACAAACTCACTCATCTCTGCATCGAACCGTTGCGAACACGTTTCCCCCGATGTTACGCTCGAGATAAATCGAAGTTCCGAAAAGATTCTTTCAGAAGCGACCCGTGTTTAGCAAACAAGCCGGGCCTGAAACGTTTCAGACTTTAGAAAAGGACTTTTTTCCGGCCTGCTCCGGGATGTCCGTGCACGGCGCGTGAAATTCCGTGTTCGATTCGCAAGGGATACGTTCGGGCCAAGGGGGGTTCCGTGTTTTTCGGCGCGGAGCAGCTCGTGCGGACATGTTAACGCCGTAGTTCGCAGCCGCGGGCGGTCTATGGAGACGTGACCAAAAGCTGTCAACATTTCTTTACGGCGGCGAGACAAACTCGATCACGGTTTAACCCCGCCTCAGAAATTCCGGTTTCCCTTTCTTCCTGGCGGACAAAAAAGATCCTGCCGTGAAGCGCTTCCTGCGGTCGCAGCGAAACCCATCGAAGCCACTTACGACCGTCGATAACGAAAAATCTGTGGCTGGACGTCACTTCCCTGGCATTCCTCTCTCTGCTTCCGGTATTTGTGATGCTTCCTGTTCTTCGGGAATTTCTGCTTTGATAATTGATAATAATTACGCTGATGACAGAAATAACGAAGACATTCCTGTGGATCTCTGTGTATCTTCATAAATCTTACAAAAGAGTTCTCAGTTTTCCAGTTTAAATAAGATGAAAGTAGAATAAGCAAATTTTGTACAGAATTTGACAAGTCGAAGAAGTCGTGCAAAAAGGAACTCCGCCATTTTGAACGTCTCCTGCACCTCGCGCGTAAGATCCATCACGAACACATGTATCTCCATAAATAACGCGTTATTATCGCTGTCCAGAGCTATCGTATGCTTATTGTCCTGGCACAGGGATGCTGCTGGCTATCTATCCCCCTATCGAACAACAGTGCAAATAGATTGTTACGAAGGAGCCGTTTAAACGTCACCTAATGGCTTGTCAGATAAGATAATGCAGTTCCACGGATCGTCCGGTGATTCTTCGAAAAGATGGCCGCCACCTAAACGTAGGGGGTGACCGAACTGCTACGTCTGAGGGATCCCGACGTAATTTCGGAGGGTGAGACCGCTCGCTTGGGGGATGATCCCTTCGTCGAAGGTATAAATTGGATATTAATATTTGATGAACCCGCTGGATCACAGGCTGAACAGCACGGAAAGAAAATGATCGATCTTGTGATACCGGTTGATCTTTATTCACGGTCCTTGGAATACTTTGAGGAATTTATTTTAATATAAATTGTATATTCATACAAACCTATTGATTTGATTAAGTGTTTCATTAAAGTTTTATTAGTTTGATCTTATCCTAAATTAACCTAATATCTAAATTCTCTTATTGTAAGATTATAAATTTCTAATTTCGTTTGATATAAATGCTACTTTGATAAGGAATCATAAACTCATACGTTTAGAAACATTCAGTTCTTAACTTTGATAGAACTATGTTTTAAATATTCAAATCAGCCTTCTAAAATAAAAGAACATTTTTCACCGACCGATCATCTTTTACACAAACATAAGGGTCGCCGGAATTGACTACTGTTAACTTTATCATTCGCTCCTGGACCAGCAGGAACGTTATTGCTCGTCCCAGGAAGACCCGCCAACCAGTGGGCGAGGAAATCCAACGCGCTAATAGTCAACCCCCTGACTATTTGACCATTTGAAGATGAGTAAACACTTTACGACGATAGGCCCTCTCCCGGCCAGATAATATAACGCTTAAATATTTTATAATTCTCGCGAAGGATGAGCTAGACTCCCGCTGATTCGGTCTTTTTCCGAGATTTTTTCGATGATTTTTTTACGAGCCACCAACAAAACGGCTCGTTTTATATTTATGGCGGAAGATCAGCGCTGCGACTTTTTTTTATCCCGCACTGACCTCCCGAACATCGGATGGGCTCGAGATTTTATGGGTTTACGATATTGCAGGTAAGTTGTCTCTTCGTTTTCAGCTACACGGTAGTAACGTTCAATATTCCGTGCCGGCAATTATTCGTCTCATCATTCTTGTTTATCAATGAAGCGTTTCAAATTTCCCGGCTGTATTTTGGAATACCCACGACTGTTTTAACGATCGCGACGAGGCACAACCTCTCTCTGGCTGGGGCGACGTTTTATTTTCTTCTTTACAACTCCCGTTGATAAATGAGGCTGGGATTAAAAGTTGATCCCGAATCTTTGTCGAAATCGTGGACGGAGCCAGGATTAGTCGCGAACGTCGGACACGTTGCTCAATATGTTTCGTGGATTGAGACGTTTCGGTTTAACGGTATCATCCCCTGCGACAGGTTTATTTCTACCTCGGGTTGGCTGATCGCAAGTTAGTAGATTGACAGCATTAAACATTTATACTATTAAATCAATAGTCAGATTTTTAACGCTTTCGAGATATCAATAATCCCAAGATGAGAAAACCGAGACTCGCCATTTCGACTGGTACTGTTGTTCCGGTGTTAAATATTAGGTACTATTTACCACTAAAATTTTTATCACTCGCTCCAGGATATATTTGCGCGACCCAGTGGTTCCCCACGAGCCATACAATTCGTCGATGTCGGATAAAGAGAACCGTGGGGGACGCGGGTGGCAGTAGATTCATAGTTAAACCTCAATGGGTTGTTAAGCCGGTGGCGTTTATACGGAATTATCTCGTTTCCCCGCCAGAATCGTTCGAAGAGTTAATTGCCACCGGCGCCCCAAATTCCGGCTGGGCGAATCTGACGAACGCATTCGGTGCGCTTTCGCAGACATCTTGTGAAAACCACCCCTTCTTCTTAATGTCTGTCTTTCCCTTTTTAATTGCATTCTTTATTTCATTGCTGCATTTTATAAGAATACACGTGTTATTTATCTAATTCGTTTCTACAAAAATGTGATTTTCTATTCTTTTTCCTTATTTGTCGATTGAAATATTCTTAATTAATGATTCTAGGATTATTGTGAGTTGTCAAGTGATTTGTTCTTACAGGAATTATTTCTTCCCTTGGTAATCTCAATTTGATACTTCAAGATAGATTTACACTGATTATTTATTATAATATAAGATGGAAGTAGGTGTAACAATTAGCGAAGAAGGTTTAAATAACGATCATTTTCAATTCACGGAATTTTCGGTGTGTACGGTTCCGATGTAACGTGCACTCGCAGACAATAAGATCCAGCTACGATTTAGTGTTAGTGAGATCCAGTGAAAATGGGGGAAAGGGCCAGGGCTATTACTAACGTCGACAGGAGGGGCGAAATAAATACAGTGATTGATTTGATACTGGTGCAATAAAGCTCAGATTGATGGATACCGTGTCTTGGAAGAACTATTAAGGATTTATTTAACGCCTGCGCCGAAAATAGGCTGCGGTTGTCGTTTACAACCCATCCTCCCTTGAATTAAGAGCAAATCAAACCTGCAACAACGTGGCTGAACCCTATAATTAAATTCATTACTTTACCTTTAAATTCATTATCCATTATTCGCAAATCAAGATGATCTCTCATTTCGAAAATATTTTCATTAACATTTCTACTGGTACTGTAATCGGCAGAGTTAAAGTCTTCAAATCTTCAATGTTCGAATGAAACCATTTAATATTAAGCTTTAATATTCTACAATTTCAACTAGAGTTTCTCCAAATCAGGCAAGAATTAAATCAATGTCGTGCGAATTGTAAGAATCAAGTTCAAAGGGTGGGAAAGGGTATTTCAATGGATAGACACAAATCATTTTCATGGTTTATATATAACTTTTATTCGTCTCCATCGTTCTTACGTTGACATGTAGATCCTTAAGCATACGTATCAACAGTCTACCTCGAGACACGTTCGCTGAGAACGTGAACTCGCCGAGAAACGCGGGAACGAAACCTCTACAAAACAGTGAAATAACGTCTATAATAAATTACTTATTCTACTACTGTACACGATCCTAATATCTACGGTACTAATTACACGCGATCACCGACACGTCGTTCGTATGTAACACAAGTGTTGCACAGCGATTCGTTGAACAGGTACGAGTATTCCTTTATACACTTCCGATCGACACGTTTGTCATTCAGTTCTCGATCGTGAATCTTTGGCAGTTCGAACACGCTATACATTATATAAACTTTCTTTACATACTTCCGCCTATAGAACGTATGATACACTTAACCCTAAATAAACGCAGATCAAATTTACAATGACGAGTACTCCTATCGTTGCCAGGAGGAAGAGCCGTCTAAGTCCCAGGATGTTCAGATTCTACACTTATCGAACAGACCCATTTGATTCTACTCATTTCGGATAAAAAATATATACTACATTTCTCGTAGTACCGCCGCAGAAGTTCTCATTTACAGTTATACATTCTTTGGTATGTAATCGATAAAACAATGCACTGGGATCTCATTTCCACGACAGGAAATGTCCAACTTAACGATAGATTTAACTTACTGACTAAAAACACTTTATCTCCTCGAATTGCATGGTACATACAATTAAATAGAATTCTTATCAACACGAGCAATATCATAAATAAACATTATTCCCCCATGTCACTCTTACCCACCCTAGCCAAGAATACTTACAATCAGCTGGGAGGATTGATTGCACTATGCATTCAAATAAAAAGAAGTTCAAGCCTCGAGATCGCCATTACGGCGGCATTCGCCGCGAACGATCGAACATTCGAACCTCAATTATTACTGCGCCCTTCTAATCTTTCGAATCATTGAAACCGAAGAGAGTTCATATACAAAACTAAGACCAATTAGATCCTCATTCTCCCGAGACTCTTCCCGGCAACGCGGAGTATTGTACAACTAATACGTTATCTCTATCTCGGTCCTTCGTACCGTTAGAAAATCCGGAACCGACGTCACAGGTTGCAACACTCGACGTCCAGCGTATATACATCAACCTCTTATTACTTATGTACATCTAACTCTGTCCCAACCATCCCTTTTTACGCCCTCTCGGAGATGTCATTCTTGTAAGGCTGGAACAGTTTCGGCGGTTCCATCTTGTTGGCCTGGACGACGCTGGTCGTGGAGCCCAGTCCCGAGTAAGCGGTCTTGCTCTCGAAAGCCCCGATCGTGGACATGCCGGTCGGCAGTCCGGCGAGGCTGATCCCAGTCGGGAGCTTGATTTGCACCGAGGGGTGCGTGGTCGGCGGCATCGGGGGTGGCGAGGTCTTCTCGTGCATGAGCTGCCCGTTATGATGGTGGACTGCGAGATGGGGCTGTTGCGCGGCGACGCAGTCGCAGTCGCTGGAAGCGTCCGAGTTCACCGGACTCAGCTCGGGCAGCAAGGTCGGCCTGTAGCTGGTCGCGACCGTGGTGGGGGTGTTGTTTACCGGGAAGGCGGTATTGGCGACCGTAGGAACGCCCAAGCCGGGCAAGTGTAGCGGCGCCAGCGAGGGGTGAGGCTGCAGAAGGTGAGCGTGATTCGGGTACACCGCCGCTGCGCGGGGATGAGGCCGGTGCAGCGACGACGCGCTGCTCGTCGGCACTCCACCCGAGTACGGCGTGTACCTGGCGGCGTAGTAAGCTGCCGCGGCGGCTGCCGGGTAGCTGGGTGCCAGGTGAGTGGGTGGCAGACCTGGGGCACCGTGGTAAGGCGGAGGCGGCAGCGTGGCGGTCGCTGCGGCCAGCAATGTCGCCGCGAGGGTTGGGTCCGTGTACATCGCGTACGGCCAAGCCATCGCCATCCGTTGCCGCTTGTCCTTCATGCGACGGTTCTGGAACCAGACCTGGAATCGAACACGCCTTTCGTTAGAGATGACGAGTTTCAGGGTGTTTCTGGAGGTTTCGAGGAGTTTGAATGGGTCGGTGGTTGATGGGTCTTGTGGTTTTTGGGTTTTTTAACGCGCGAGCAATGGAGATGTAATATAGAATAGTCAGTTCAGACCGCGACATATCAGAAAACCGTTCGGCCCCGAAAAAGTGGAGGACCCGAGGTGGAACGCGCACCCGTCGTTTAACACCTCGATCATTTTCGTTCCCATCGGCAGCGGTTTTATAGCCATTGTAGAACCGTGGCCGCGCGAGATGAGAAATTAAGGGATCCATTAAAGTCAAAGGTGGCCCGGGAAAACCGCTAATTAACGTGATTAACACCTCCGACCGGATCGACCGGTCGCGGTCGGAAGACATTAAAAAGTCACGGGAAAAGGATCAAGGGGATCGAGGCGAAGCGGAGTCCAAGGAAGCCAGCGTTGTTTGCCTTTCGTGATTGACTGTTTGCTCAGCTCTGGGAGAGAGAGAGAGAGAGGAGAACGACAAAGACGATGGAAAGAGCAAGAAATCCCCCAGCAATCCTTGCGCGTCTCCTTTCCTCTCGCTCTCCTCGAGACATAATCGCCGATCAAATATGGCGGAGCACGCAAAAACGTCCCGCGTTCTCGTTCGCCGGGCGCGAACGAAAAACTAATCTGCTCTGATGGGGAACGCTCGCTGTAACCGAGCGAATTAACTTTTTTTCGATTGCCCAGCATGGCGTTCGGACGCGAGAAATGTTGTTCGAAATATTGCGCAATGAAGAACGGAGAGACATCAACCTCAAGGCTTTCCCAAGCGTTGCCGCGCTCGCGAACGTTCGGGCTACTGGCTACCGTCGATTACTGGTATTAATTAAACAGACCGAGGTGTTAATAGAACACTTTTCTACACGGCAACGCGCGGGTACGGAGGATGAGGTCACTGTTTACTGAACTTCACCGCGCCGGTGTTTGCCCGCTCTCGGCAAACAGAGTCCGCGATGGCGGGGGGGTCCGGGATAGAACGGTTTTCTAATTGGCCGCGCAGCTATCAATTAACCCTTCGCGCTTCTGTGTCGAATTTACGTTCAATTCTGTTCCGATGCTGTATGGCGCGTTTCATCAACTTTTGTGAGTGATTATTCGTAAGGCGGCAACGTGCCAGTAGAATTTTAGCACTTCTTAAACGTTCACTAGTAAGTTAATGAAGCGACACATGGAACTATACGCGAATCAACGCTGGTGCTACTGAATATTTAATGCGATATGCACTCTGCTCGTAAGAATTGTACAATCTATGTATAATCTCGTGATAATTATTCGTTTTGAAAGTAATCGATGCTTTTACGATGTTAGTGTCCACAATATCAACAGAATAGAAGCTGATCGTTTCAAATGTTTCAGCGTTTACGTTGATGTGAGAGTTTCGGAGTGAAAAATCAGGGATAATTTGGATAGTAAAGGATTAAATGTGTTATTTTATATGTAAATACATACCTTGATCGTCGATTCCGGCAGGTGCAGTTGAGCAGCGAGCTCGCATCTCCGTGGACGGCTGACATAGTTTTCCCGATGGAACTCTTTTTCCAATCGAGACAGTTGCTCCCGGGTGAAAGCGGTTCTATAGCGTCTGATGTTTGGGTCCATGGAGGCCAACGGTTGCTGCTGTTGCTGTTGATGCGTCGGCGAAGTGTCTGCAATTAAAGGAGAGACTCTGTCAAGCTCACGAACGAATGGAACAGCGAACGCCGCACCGCTGCGTCGTGGGTGTCCGTTTTGTGTCGGGGACGTTTCACCGCAATTTGTCACGAGGAAACTGTTCCTAGGAAAGACCCGACCACCGTTCTTGTTTTCCCGGCGCGGTTACACATATTGTCGCCGAACGGAAAGCAGCGGGCGAGAAGAAAAGGCGGAAAGAGGCTGAAAGGAGAGCCCGGCGGGTAGCTTGACCTCACCTGGACTCCTTTCAGCGATCCCCGGGTGTCTTTCGTCATCATTTTCTTCGGTCTACCGACGGAGGTTCTGAAGCTTATCTTATCAATGAGAAAGGATCGCGTATTCTTTATCTTTGATAGGAATTTTCTAATTTTCATCGTTTGCCAGTTTGAAAGTTTAAGAATCTTAAGATTTGAACGTTAGTAGGCTTGAAATTTTGAAAATTTGAAAGTTCAAATGTCGAAATTTGAACGTTTGCAAGTTTGAACGATCGAACACAACGTTTAAAACTAAACATATAAATGTTCCTAAGTCGACGACTATTATCTTTTTTACGATCTTTACGTTGTTGTGTCAGCAATGTCTGATTGACACAAGCGTATACGCCATCGCACATTTAACAGTTTCGAGGCCGACCAACTCCGTTCAGTTCACAACACGTTGATCTTGTTTGGTTTACATACATTACATTGACAACTTGCACTGTATCAATCGGTGTTGTCAATACAAAATTCATTTGTAATTGTCGAACAGTGTAAATAAACATGTACCAGAAAATCAAACGATTGACATGAAGCTGTTGGCTTCAGTGATGCTGTTTCCTGTGCGACAGGGTCTTACGGGTTCTCGTGAACCCAAGCTCGGTCATCAGCAAGGGGTTGAGAAGCAATGAACATTTTCGAAAGCAATAACAGTAAAAGGTATAAGACACGAAGGGAGCAGCAATGAATTTATATACCTACACCGCTTTTACGAGGGTTGCGTTCATTTCTTCGTTCACAGAAAATGAAAGCAAATGGGAGGCGCAAATCAGAAATTCGCCACTGATTACCCTATTTCTCCAACAATAAATAGATCTTTAGGATCGAGCTGCTTTCGGGAACCAGGCAATATCCATAAAATAATCACAGTAATAAACTGGAAGAGGTCACTTCCCCAGGAAACCTTTTCACCCGACTCTGTTCTGACCTTATTTTCAATCTTCGCAGTCCGTTTAATAAAATCCCGAGAACTGTCCCCTGCCCCGACGTTGTTATACAAGATACCCATCTCAATTAACTCATCCGAATTGTTGATCCTCCTAATGGCCAGACAAGAACCGCGAGTCACTATTTCCCGACGGCGGCGGAACTGTCACGTCGCCCCGTTAAATACTAATGTTCGTGAAACATTGAATTTGTAGGACACTTTACATTAAAATTTCTTGATCTTTTGCCTTCTGCTATCGCGTCAGACTCGTGAATATTTCAAATCGAACTTAATATTACTCGATTGCTTTAATTCCGAATGAATATTCCTTCGTTATCAATGATTACAGTTTATTATACATTTACATGAATTGTTAACGTCAGGATTAATTCTATCCATCAAAATTAAAATAGGAATCAAAATACAAGGGGTTAAAGTTCGAAACGAAGACTCCAAGAAACCCTTTCATCCCTCTCTTCCACCCTCTTACGATAGAAAAGCTCGAAAATACTTCTATCGATTTCCTTCATCCTCCGCGCGTTTACCGCGACGTCACTATCCAAAACACTGTAAGAATCTTACCTTTCTCCGATGTCTTTGAGATATTTCCAGGTGTAGGACTGTGAGGTGGGCTGAGTTGGTACTGTGGTGGTACCAAGTCGACGACAATCGTCTCCTCCTCCCTCTGGTCGCGCTGCTCCTCGAAATTCCTTTGATAACCCTGCATCTCTTCTTCGCGAGTCTATGTTCCCTCGTAGAACGTCCACTGAGGAATAACTCCCCCTCTTTTTCACTGTTGTCACTTAATGTAGATGATAGCGTCTGTGTTTGCGTGTCGTACAACCGACATGTATTCGCAGAAACAACGCACACGACGACTTCGCTCTCACTGTATCGTTTAACTGTAACTGTCTGTTGAACGATACTCTAAAAGTCCTCTTTTGAACCGACTTCTACGGAGTCAAAACTCTACAAGCAGCGTTCACGTTCGACTGAGAAGTCGGGCCGGTTTAACATCAATTTATAAGACAGTACCATTGCGTCGGGCGACCATCCTTCTGTGCCGACCCGCCATTGGTCGACGCGACTTTCCGGCCCCGCCTATCATCCCTCCAGCCACTGGGAAGTCCCCACCACTGCAGCCACTCGGCACAGATGCCTTTTTACGAGGCACACCGGTAGCATCAACTTATGCATCGAGCCGGAGGAAATTATCTGTCGTTATACCCTAGTGCGAATCCGGCCGAATTGGCCCTCCGCGAGGCGCTGATGAACTCCGAATTCGCAAGGGGTTGCTCGCTTCTTTTTCTTCCCTTTTTTTTCATCTGCACCAGTTTCCTGTTTTCGGCTCGGAATTCGAGGGGGACGTTCCGGAAATAAGTGTTTGATATTGTTATACATCGGTGTCGATTGAAACTGTCGTGACTAACCCAAGTGAAGTCGTAATTGAGGTGCTTAGAAGCTAATAAGATTAACTCTTGAAAAGAAGAATTGAGAAAATTAATGTTTCAGCTTCTGAAATTATCATAGAAATTTTCAGCTTATAAGTGATCAGCTGATTCTCGAAACGTAAGGAAAGACATACAATTTTACTGCTGTTTCCACCGTGGGCGTGCAAAGCTTTACACTAAGACTACTTAAATTGACTCTACGAATTTCCTGTATAGAAAACTGAGAAGTATTGAGACTTCAGTTTATTTACAATTCAGTTTTCGTATTGTTAAATCTGTTTCTTTAATAATTTCCCAGAGAAGCGTCTATCATCTCTTTAATAAATGGGAAAATGACAATGGGCAATTTTGACCCATCTGGTATGTTTCTGTGCTAGACATATGAAAATTATTTTATGAATCCAATAATGCAATCTTAATCTCCTTATTCCTTTATCTTCGATCTCATTGTACCGTTAATACCTGTATAGTTCTAGCAAATCATCTATATTAATTATACAGCCAGTAGCCGAACTTCGCTTACACTCCGAAGATCATCGAGGTATTAGAAAGTTGGCAAATACGTGGGTTCTTTTACGGTGTTAGAACTCATTGTTCCTCGTTTCCAGTGGATGCTATAGCTACTTATTGTTCGACGATGTTAATATGTTTAGGTAGCCATGGTATTACACGGGAATCTGATAAAGCGACTGGCAGCTGTGGCCATTGTAGCGATGAGGGCCGGAGACGATAAAAATTTTCCCTGTAAAAGACGGAGCGGCGTGCAATAACACCATAAAAAGCGAGGGACTCCGTTTCCGCCGCTATTACAGCGTTTTCTTAAGGGGCGACGGACCTCGTAAAAACTTTGCTCTATTTTAAACGACCCTGCGATTGTAAAAATTGCATCGTTGCTCGGTCCTTCTTCGCTTGATCCCCCCCAAACTTCTCGCCAAGGCATGCAAACAAGATGGAGATGCCCATGGCTCGTCTCGCGTTGGTCAGACCGAGTCTGTTCGTATATCTAAAGGAAGTTCCGAAGAACATTAGAACTATTTGTCGTTAATAATGTACCAGTAAAGGAACCATACAAATTACTAACAAGAACAATAATGTCTCATTTGAATTGAACACAACTCAATGACATTTATGGTTGTTAAACCATATTAGAAATCTCCGCCTCAAGTCTGACACGGTATTGTAAGGCAAGGGGTTAACACTAAAACTACCGAGCAGTTAAGTTGACTAGATTACAGTAGTTGACGGTATTAACACAGAGTAGGAAAAAATGATGCAGCAGTAGACATTAATTTTAAAATAAATGCAGCGGATGATGTTTTAGTTGCACGAGTAAAAGTGTGCATTTGAGCGCATCCATATGAAAAATATAAAAACGAATGAGTACTTACTGCGAGTTGCGTGAAGTGACGATAAAGTTCATATCGCCACCTACTGAAGAGTTGCATAATACTTCGTATAAGGAATTGTGTATTTTATATTATTTCCAAGGTATAACTACAATGTTTATTTCGATTTTCAGCCAATGAATCATTTAATATGTAACAAACGAAAGCAACATTTATTATCGCCAATTGTTTCAGTGAGAACGTTGAGTTTGGATTTTCGATATTAACTTGATTTTTGAGCTTAATAATTGTTTGCGCCATGTCTTTGACGCGGATTGTGCACCGCTGATCTATTCTCTTTATTCAGTCCTAGCAGTGGTGTTTGCAACGTTCACGATGGCTGCCGACAAAATCTCCGTGCCTCTGCACGCACGGGACAATAAATCATCGATGAAAATTCCAGCGAATCCACGTATAGAATGCCAATTTCCGCGAAGCAGTGCAGTGCACGGAAATTGGATCAGAGATTGCTAATAATTTTTGCAGGACGCGGTCCGTTCGACGTTTACGACGACACCGAATCCAGTGTTTAAGGTTAATCTTTGATGGAGCTCGGTGCCTGAAACGCGCTCTGATTCGACTCTGATCCACACGGAAAATCCCTCTGAGTTAAATTATTTCTTTTCTGGAAAGTTATAATTGCAACTTGTGTGAATATTTCCTTTGCAACGTTATAAATCTATCTTCAGTATCACCGTTGCTACGTTACGATTTGTAACTTCAATATTTTCATTCTCATAACTGAATTGAATTGAACTTTCTTCTTCGGAATCACTACATCGTCACATCCAGCGAAAAGAATATCAACGAATCCAAGCATTACCAAACTGAAAGTAATAAATTTAACGTATCAATTTGTAGATGTTACAGTTTACGACAACAGTTAGCCTATTTTATTATTTTATTACCTACAATCCCACCATCGAACTACTCGTGTTGAACCCATAAAAACATAAGCGTAACAACGGCAAGCTTCGTATTAATCAGTGAAAGATTCCAATAACGCACGGAAGATGCTCAACTGCTAAATTGGGATCAGGGACCGTTGCTCCATATTAAAACAAAACCGTACAGAAAAGGTAGAGCCTATTGTTGACCCGAATACCTGGTGTCATAATGAGGCATAAAATTTTATTTCGTGTAATTTGGACCTCAAACCGAAACTGGAGCAACGGTACCATTCGTGCCCATAATTTACAGGGAAATAGGGCTGGCGGGGATGGGGGAGGAAAGCGAGAACTTATCGGTTTTTATTGGTATCCATCCGATGGTCAAAACAAACGGTATATCTAGTTCGTTTCCCGATGTTTTCCCTTCCCGCTTCCTTTTTTTTCCCTCCTCGGGCCTCCGAAAAAGGTGCATTATTTTCGTGCGTATTTTACGGCGGTGCAGTAACGACGTTCCCGTTGAAATACAGCTAGCTGTTAAATCTGGAGCACTTTTTCTCTTCTTCGTCTCGCCCGGTGCCCCCGGTTTCAGGGAGAACGGAACACCGGGACTCTCGTTGGTCGAATTTAAAACGCGCCGACGCCCGTTATACGACCGATTTCAATAGGAAACACCGAGGACCCGAAAAAATCGCAAAGATGAAGAATTACGAGACCTCGTTCTGTAACCGCGTCCCTTGGAAAAGATGTTACAGTTCCAGAAACGTTCACGTTTTAGAGCTCCCCGTTTGAACAAGCTCAATTCCACGGGCAGGATACTTTTGTAGGAAAATTCACGTTTTCTATTGGCAGTTTGAGGAATCCTTAGCCAGTGTCCCGTTAATTTCCACTGTATTTGTTCCAGGGTAATATTCTTTTATAAATTCTAGGGCTGAGTGAAAATATTTCGTGACGGAGGTAACAGTTATTCGGTTTAGACGTGGATCGAATTAATATTCATGTTACAATGATTAGTACAATTGTACTCCAATTGTCATGAATTATTTATTTATATTTCGTATATGTTAGTCGTTATTCAATTTATTTAATCTTTTAACTTGAATAATCTGCAAACAGAAAACCTGGTATAAGTCTGGTGAAAATAATAACAGGTGTCAACGGTTTTAAAAAGGCTCTAAAACATTCAATCTCGTGAAAAGGTTATAGAAAGGGTTAGAGGGTGAGTGTTTGAGGGGTTCATTCCGGAATTTGGAAACTGAATGCAGCTCGGGAAACGCGTTGGTAATTGCTGAATCGCAAAACGATATAAAAATTGATGATATCGTAAAAGCTGAATTTTTTTCCGGGACCCTTTAGCTACTCCTTTTTTTTTGTGAATCTATAATCCGCTTACAGATCGCGGCAGAACGCGTTGCTCGGTGGAAGGTTTCTTTACGATGGCGAAACAACTCCGTAAACTTTCACCCCTTTAGATAGACGCAGCGTAATTTGCTTTCGTCTTCGTAATTAACCCCTGGCCTTATAACATTCCAGTGAGGAAACGCAGTGTAATAAATGTAAATCTATAGGCGCTAATATATTTATTTATATTAATTTTTATTGCACACAGGTTGATCCATTTAAATAAATCCAAATATTATTAAATATATAAACTGTCTCTAAATAGACGTTTACGATGGTAGAGGGAGGTTTAAGCTGATTTTTATGTACCAGGCGGTCTCATTAACGGCAGTAGCTAATTCAGAAGAGGGTATGATAGTTTCATAAATTCATTTGTGTTGCTTATCTTTCAAACGAAATAACGCTCGCTGTTTTACATATTTCCAACAATCAATGCTTCAATCCTGTTTTCAATCGGCAGTCGCGCGAACGTAAAATCGTGCCCCAAACGAATCATTTTTCGCCGTTGACATCGTTCTCGCGCCTCTCGTAACGTACCGGTTTAACGTTTCGTACTTTACATGATATTAATCGGCCGGCCCTAAACGCGATTTATCATCGGCG